CTCAGCCGCACCCCAGAACCCCCTCTTGCACTTCAAACCCCTCATCCCCAGCCCCACCCCAGAGCCCACCCCCTCACCTGAACCCCCTCCTTCACCCCAAACCCCTCATCCCAGCCACACCCCCTCCTGCACTCCAAACCCCTCAGCTGCACCCCCAAGCCCCCTCCGGTACCCCAAACCCCTCACCCCCACCCCCTCACACTCCAAACCTCTCAGCTGCACCCAAACCCCTCATCCCCAGCCCCACCCGAGAGTCTGCACCCCCAGGCAGAGTCATCTCCCCCCCTGCACCGCAGCCCTCTCCTGCACCCCAAACCCCTCATCTCCGGCCCCACCTGGAGCCTGCACCCCCAGCCAGAGCCCTCACCCCCCTCCGAGGGTGGGGGAGAGCAAGCGAGCGACAGAGGGTGGGGGCTGGAGTGACTGGGGGCAGGACTTTGGCGAAGGGGCGGGTTGGGGAGGTGTAAAATTTTGTGTGGTTAAAAAGTTGGCAACCCTATTGCGGAGCCGCCCGGGGCCGTGGCCCCACAGCTGCATGGGGGCCGTGTGCACATGTGCCCCGTGGCAGAGATAGGTGCACGCTGGCCCTGGTGCACAGCACTTCCGCAACGCCCCAAGTGTCTGCAGAGGGTAGATCACACGCAGCTGGGACTATTTTTCTCTCAATCTCGGCAGCACACCTCGAGCCTAGAATGGAGTCAGAGCTCGCGGAGGGATCTCTACTGCGAGGCTCCAGCAGGCCAGGGCTGAGACGGGGTGAATGCGTGCGCATCTCCCTACTGACGCGGAGAGCGCAGCCAATAGGAAGGGGCGTTCGCTACTCTGGCGGTGGGACTGGGAGGCGTCAAGCGCCGTCAGGTAGGGAGCAGGCAGCACGTCACAGCGGCTCGCGCGGGGGGGAAGCGGCAGCCAATTGCTGCCCTATCGTCGCGGTACGGAAGGCGCGAAGGTCAGGAGCAAAGCAGCTGACTTTTACCCGCCCGCTTCCGGATGTGGGGCTGTTCTCCAGCCAGAGCGAAGCTGGTGAGCGACGCCTTTCTCGTTTCCATGGCAGCTGGCGTGGCCCAATCAGTTGCCAGAATGAGGCTTGATTGACGCGGGCATTGCCCTATCGCTAGCGGAGTTTCAGCGCGAGGGGCTGGTCCAGGCTAGTACCGCCTCCCACCTCTGAACCGGGGGGTGGGACGGAAGGAGGCAGCCAGCCTAGCCAGGCGGTAAGAGGCTCTCCTGGCCCGGGCGGGGGCCGCTTGGGGAGTCAGCCGGGGAGCGGGGTGATTCCCGTCTTCGCTTCCGGGCCTGCACCCACCCCCTGGGGGAGGCGGCAGCGCGCTGGGCCCCGCGGGGGTGCGGGCGGCCCTGGGGACTAGCAACAGCCCCGGGTCCGTGTCGGGCAGGCTGGGCCCGTGACCGCGGTGGGCTCCCCGTCCCTGGCGGTCAGGGGCGGATGTGTTCCCCTAGGCGTTACTGTGGGGCAGCGCTAAGCAGGCGGGCGGACTCGATAATGGCACAGGCTAGCTGTAGACCCGAGCGCACAGCACGCTGCTTTGGCGTGTCCTAGCTTAGTCCTGGCCTCTAGAGGCTCTTGCGTGTGTCAGCCTGTGGGGTTCTTGTAACGCTCCCCTCCTTTCCCCCAGTGGCTTGTGAGGCATTGGCTAGCGCCACTGCTCTCTGATGGATGGCTTCTGAATTGTTGGCAGGGAGTCTAGCTCTAGGGATGGGGGTCCTGCTCTTTTAGAGCCAGAGCATGTGAGTTGTATCCCCGCTGCATCTGGATTCCACGCGGCCACAGAAGGTTACCACATAGTGACAGCTGCCAGGTTCCTGGGTGACTGTGGATTTGTTAAGATTGTCAAAATAAGCAATTAAAGGAAATGCAGGTCATACGGGCTCTCAGATAAACATACACAACGTGATAGTTTACCTGTGCCAAAAAACAACTAAAACTCTGCCCTTTTTTTTAAAAAGACATCCTTTACAACAGGTTGAGTTGTTTTGAAACCAGACAAAAACGTCTAGCTTCAACCCTGAAGTAATCTTAAAAAAACAAACAAAACCAAAAAAAAAACAAAAAACCCCACCACTTTTCCTTTGGATACTTATAATGGGAGTGAACCTAGTGTTCAAAATGGAACCCTAATTTTAACCTTAACTGTAGAGCTTGTGCATAGTGGCCCTGTTCAGGTTAATTCTTAATGATCTGCAACTCAGAAACAACAGATTTTCTTTTGGTATCCCATCTATTAATATTATGGTTTTGCAGAGTAGTGGAAACACCAGTCAGGAGCCACTTTGCAATTAAGGCACTACTATAAACATAATTACTAGATAATCCTGACAGACCTGCAAAGCAGGGACTAGAACTGTGGTCCTTCACCAGTAAAAATACCTGCCTTGAGCTAAAATAAAACCTCAGTCACATTGGTGAAGTACAGACGGACGCTTGGACCTGATTCTCCACTGTCTTGGACCTTGCATAGTCATGTATACACATACATAGTATGTGTAAAATATTACCAGATCAGAATAGTCCTATTTTATGCCCACTTTGCACAGGAATAAATGATTACCCAAGGTCCAAGGCAGTTCTTTCCAAGCTTTAGCCAGCAATGACAGGGGGCACAGTGCTATCGCCCTGATCCTGCAAATACTTCATGCATGTACTTTTTTCATGTAAGTAATGCATGGTTAAATTTAAGCACATGTGTAAATCATTGCAGCATTAGGACATGTAACTCATTCCAATTAGATAAAACAATAATTAATAGCTTAGGCCTTGGCTACACTGGCGCTGTACAGCGCTGCAACTTGCTGCGTTCGGGGGTGTGAAAACACCCCCCCCCAGTGCAGTGAGTGCAGCGCTGTAAAGCGCCAGTGTAATCAGCACCTGCAGCGCTGCAAGCTATTCCTCTCGGAGAGGTGGAGTACTTGCAGCGCTGCGAGAGCTCTCTGCATGGCAGCGCCACTACACTCGTGCTTCACAGCACTGCCGCGGCAGCGCTGTGAATTCTGAAGTGTAGCCAAGGCCAAAGAGTACAATCTGGTTTACTGTTTCTTTGTTTAGGATTCCCCCCGCCCTCCAAAGAATTCAACTTAAGTTACAGAATAAATTAATATGGCTGTTCCTTGTAGGGAGTGAGGTGGACAAGACGACACATCCTGCAATCAAATGTTTCCTACTTCATCTCCTGACAGTCCAGGTCACCGCATGGCTGTTGGGCACTGTGTTCTGGGGAGGCATAGTTTCCTGTGAGCATCCTGCATGTGATGGCAAGGTGGTGTCTGGCCCGGACTGTTACTGTGGTGTCCCTCACTGTAACTCTGTCTGCTGTTGCTGTCAGGTACCCTAGCTGCCGACTCCCCCACCCCCTGCTCCATCCATTCAGAGAGCTTGCCTACAGGTATTTAAATTATAACACAGCAGTGACATAACCCTGCTACTTCTCATAAACGATAAAGCAAGGTTGAGGTCTAAGGCCTTGAACCCGCAACTATGTATGTGAGTGCTTAACTTTATATATATGAATAGTCCCACTGAAGTTTCTCATGGGACTATTCATGTAAAGTTATGTATGTTTTGGCATCATCAGGGCTTATTTACCCCTGTTACACTGCCACTCCATCAAAAGTGTATTTCGGATATTAACATCAAAATTCTGCTATCAGATCTGTTGAACTCGGAGTTGCAAATATGTGAGTTGCACATGCATATCCAGTGAGTGAATTTGGCCCTTAGTATGGTACATAGTTTTGGTAAAATCCCCAAAAGCAGCAGATGATTTTAATCCTGCAAACATGTATGCAAATATGTAAGTTTGTCATGAGTAGTTACCACTGGAGACAAGTTACTCACTTGCATATGTTTACAGTTTTGGGCTTATATAATTTTACTGAGAGTCATGACAGTCTTGATGTATTAATTTTTCATTCTTGTAGAGAGGAATTAATTTTACCAAATAATGGGAAATATAGCTGGGAAAAGCGATCTCAGATGGAAAGGTTGTGGGTCTAGTTGAGGAATGGGGCAATATTATTGCCTATTTATTCATTTGGACTTTCACACATTTATAAATAAAATAAAAAGAAGCAATGTGACAATTCCTGGTGTGTGTATTCATAATACTTATGTAACACTATAATGTAATTCTGATGAGCTGAACTATGCTGTAATTTTGGAATGTCACCACTTCCTTACTCAAAAAGTATTTTTGGGCATATAATGAGTTGTTATAATCTATTGAAGAATTATGCTGCAATTTTGCTCATACCATCTGATTTTTTTGTAGGTTCTTTGGTTTTAGTAAAAGTGCCTTGCTTGGCTAGGGCTGAAAAGATATCCAATATTCAGAGCCTGTGAGTAGATAGATCAGAGGGAGAAATTTCTCTGGTTTACTCAACTACAGATAAATCACTGGGCAGATGGGACTGGGTGTATATTTTTAGGCTTAATATGTTACTACTTCTTTAAAAAAATTAACATCATGTCTTTTTTTCTCACTTTACAATCTGGAGTTGTAAAACTTGGAATTAAATAACTTCATTTATATTTTTTCAGGACTGTAACACTAACACTTTTTTTCTCCCCCGTCAATAGCTCAGTTCCAGTACATTGGTTTCATTTTTACCCTGTCAGCATGCTGAGCTGTTACAATCCAAATGAAAATGCCCACAACAAAGCTCACACGTCCCCATATCCAGGGTCAAAGGTTGAGCGCAGCAAAGTACCTACTGATAAAGTGGGCTGGCTAGTTGAGTGGGAGGATTACAAGCCTGTGGAATACACTGCAGCCTCTGTCTTGGCTGGACCCACGTGGGCAGATCCGCAGATCAGGTAAGCAGTGTCTGGCCAAAAGAAATTGGGGGTTCTTCTAGATGAATGTGGTTCTGCTACCCATTGTAGAGAAAGGAAGGAATTTGTTTTGAATACATCGGACAGAGAGAAGTTTGATCTACTTCTGCTTTAAATATCTTTCCTAAAATTACATGTACACCTGGTACTTATGAAAGTGAAGGACTTAATAACGCTGGCTAGAGTACTGTATAACTTGGATAGGCTCTGTAAACCGTCCACACATCTTCTACTGCACTGCACCTGTGACTATGGAATAGGTAGTAATTTTCTTCTAGAATGAATGGGTATACCAGGCACAGCTGGATATTCAAATGAAGCTAGTTCTGTAACATATGCCCATTTCTGTGGCAATGAAAGGGGTTAGTAACATGATGAGAGCTTTACTTCTGCATGGGATAAAGATGAGTAAAAACTCAGTCTTGCTACACTGTCCTTTCAGACATTATTGACATCAGGGCTAGAATGCTGCAGCAGCTGCTATATGGAGGTAGAGAAAGTGTTTAATAATATGTATGTTTCTATTTGTTTGTATTGGTATATGAAATGCAAACACACAGTAATAATACAATGTTAGAATTCTAGAATTGACCACTTGGATTCAAGAAATGCAGAAGTTAAGGTTGAGTGCCCAGCTTTGACTCTGCTTGCTTGTACATGTGTATATCAATCCGGTCTAATGTAATCGTATATCATTTCTTAAAGAATGCAATCTACATATTTTACAACACTAGATATGTATGTGTCTAAGATACCTTGTGATCCTGTATTTAAACTGTATGCGAACACGTGCACAAAAGGGGCAAAATAAAGTTAGTTAGTGCTTCAATCTTAATTTTCATGTTTCCTGACTTTACATTAATATTTGATCGCATTTATTACTTATTATATTATTATTTGCATAGCATCTAATACCAAGGGCTCTTGAAAGACTTAGGGTAGAAATGACTATATTGTGCTAGTGCAAAGTAGCCATAGCACTGGGGTATATTCTCTCTCTAAATGTTCATAATTCTTAATAGTGCTGATCCAGATGTTAGGTGTCAGTGCAATCTTCGAAGCAAGCCAGGTTTGAAGAAAATTGGGTCAATGGTTGTAAAGTTATGAATATTTGATGAAAAAAACTTTTGAAATATGCACATATGTCTGTCTGTGCATGGCCCTCTATAGACTCCTGGGGTGATTTTCAAAGGCACTCATAGGAATTAAATGCAAACTCCTACCAAAAGTCAGTGATTTCATTGGAAAAGTGTTTAGTATGTATTTTTCATATGCTCATAACTTTGATAAATCACAGCCAATCAAAGGTCTCCTCAGGGATTGTATCTGTGTCAAGTTTCAAAGCTTGGCTATTTTGTCCTGTAGACCTGGCTCAAAAAAAAAAATTGGTTAAAAATTTATAAAATGGGAAAAATAAATGTTTGCCAGGTTCAAAAGTGGACAAAGGGATTTTGTTCAAACTTTAAAAGAAACACATATTTTTGGGCCGGAATCAGTAATGGACAGTATCATCCCCAAAGGTGGATATTTTAGAAACTTAGAATGTCAAATCCATATATCACCTGTTAGAAGTATTGAAAGATTCTGCAGTTTGCAAATACTGACACTTTAATGGGGGCAGGAGCAAAGCTTAGAAAAACAGGGCTGCAATTCAGTTTTAGACTTTTTGGTGAACCAAGTGCCATCCCTGAGACATTTGGTGTTGCAGATCCTTTGGATGGCATTACAGCCTTTATAATTAACAGCTGTTGGTTGCTTAGTAACTTACTCTATACTACTCTTCCCTAAAACAGTGCCAAAAACTTTTCTCCCAAATTCAATGAGAAGGATGGACAAGTGGAGAGGAGGAGTCTGAGTGGCTTGTATGAGGTTGAAAATGGGAGGCCCAGGTAGGTATTTTTGCTCCTTAATCTTCTATGACAATGTTGTGACACTGCACCCCATATTTGTCATAGTAATATTATTATGATATGATTGTGATGTAATTATGGTGCATTTTGTACAAGATAAGTCACGTGAGATGTCATTGAAAAAGTTATGATTTGCTGAATATGACTAACCTATTTGTATGCATGTATCATTTTTGTAGCTGAAGTTATGAATATTGACTGTATCTGTATTTCAAATGTAGTTACACCTGTGTAATGCCCACTAGACAAGATGCTTTCAATCTAGATTGCCCTGAATAGGCCCTTCCCAACCAGCTATGAGCCATTAGGGAAGACAATAGGCCTTAGGAAAAGCTTATCTCCCACCTGGTGAGCCTTCCTGAGAACCCTCCAGACAGCCTGTAAATAACGGCTGCTATGACTCTACAAGGACATGTGACCCAAGCCACATAATTCTGGACTCCATCTTGAGATGTCGATATTTTTCCACAAACTGGTCTGGGAACCAAGTTTTGAAGCAAAGGGTTCCTGCCATAGCTAAAGCTATATAAGGCAGGGAGTGACCTCATCTGGGGTTCTTCACTCCCCACACAAGATGACTCCTGGAAACACCTGAGGAACAAAGACTGAACTGGGGGAAGTGCTGGACCCAGGCTAAAGGGATTTCTAGCCTGTATATGAAAGACCTGGGGATTCCAAGCTGTAAGGCAAGTGCAGCTTGTCCCTTAAGAATCTGCAGCCTGCTTGTATCATCAGCCAGGGTGAGAATTTGCCAATTCATATCCTATCTTCCTAGTATCTTAGACTTAGTTTGTGTTTTTGTTTATTTACTAGGTAATTTGCTTTGATCTGTTTGCTGTGACTTATAATCACTTAAAATCTATCTTCAGTTAATAAACTTGTTTTTGCTTTATCTAAACCAGTGAGTTGGAGTGAAGTGCCTTTGGAAATTATAGCTCAAGGGGCAAAGGCTGTTGCATATTCCTCTCCACATTGAGGGGAGGTGGGGCGAACTCTGAGCTTACTCTGCAGTTTCCTGTGCAGCGCAAGACGATATAATTTTGGGTTCATACTCCAGAGGGGGTGCGTGCCTGGGGAGCTGAGAGTTACCTTGGCTGTAGCCTTTCTATTGTTGTTTCGTGCAGTGGCTAGACAGAGAGCCTGCATGAAACCAGCTGGGTGTGTCTCTAGGGTGTATGCTGGTGGAAGTGTAGGACCGGGAGCATGTCTGCAGCTTCTCACAGCAGCACAGTGTGAGAGGGAGCCCAGGCTGGTGGTCAGAGGGCTCAGTGGTACCCCAGTTCCAGGTGGCACCCTGGGGGAACTCCTCACAAATGTCATTTGAGAAGGTGTGTTTTTAATGTTTTTTGTATCTGATTTAGCATGTGTTACATACTAGACCAGAATAGCACATTGTCTGTGCTGACTTAACTGGTGCAAAGTCCCACACCAGAAAGTTTGCTTAGAAGAGGACTGTAAAGGAGCAATGTAGTGATGGGCCTGTAGCTAACACAACTCCCAAGATGGGAGGATGTGTTGGGTGTGGGAGAATGTGCTGTAGGATGTGTTGCATCTGCTTTAGCGTCTGCTGCAGAACTTCTAAGGAAACACCACCTCCCTCCCTGAGGTGAAAGTCTCTCAGTCTGGATGCAGCAGTTCTCACTGACACAGGAAGGTACAGTTTGTACCTCTCTGCAGCAGAGGTGAATCTAGCACACTATATTTAAACTGTTTATTCTCTATAGATTAGTGTGTTTCACACATCAGAGATGAGATTGGAAAGCTGATTATCAAGCTGAGGGCAAGATTGTGACCTTCCCCTACCTGCTAGTATACAGTGTCTCCTTTCTCTTCTATATGGACTACCCACATAGCCAGCCCATGTGTGAGGCTAGAGAAGACTGTGAAGGTCTACTTCACAGTCTTCTCTAGCCTCACTCCGCGCCCCCCCCCAGCAAAATGGGGTTGGGACCTTGACCCCCATGCCTGGCATGTAGAACTGCTCTTGCAAACCAGTCACAATTCCTTCCCTAGACTGCTCCTGGGATGGTGCAGCTATGTGCTCCATCCTCCTCACCTTTTATCTTGGAGTAGGAACAATTTAGAACCCTCAGGAGAGTTGTAGTCATGATCTGGAGGTGAGACTACTTTAATTCTTTGACACCATTTCATTTTTCCCTGTGTTTGGTTATTTAGATCCCAAGGTAAAAGAACAAACCAAAGAATGTCCCTCCAAAGTTCCAGGATCTCTTGGCATATTTTGTAAACTCCTATAATACTGTATTTTAAAACGAAGTTTTGTGGTTTTACTTTTGTATCGTATTTTCAAATTTAGGAAATGTAATGGAGCTTGATCTCACTAAAATGTTTAATATTTTCTGTCCATACCTTGAGAGAGTGGGGATGAGGTACATGTCAACACTAAGAACTTGACCAAATATACATTGTTACCTTCCTCTTTCCTCCTTCTGTAGTTCCTTATTATTTGAATGAAGCTGGCTTCCCAGAATATTTGTACATATTGGGGATTTCATATGTACCACCTTCTCTTTCAGAAATCCGTCTGGCAGGACGGGATTGGTGGGTCGAGGATTATTAGGGCGCTGGGGACCAAACCATGCTGCAGATCCTATAATAACTAGGTAAGGGAGACAGGATCAGAGGATGATATGCCAGCAGAATGGAAAAATGTAGAACTTGCATTCATGTGTACATGTCAGGTACCTGTATATGAAAAATTTTGATTATATTTTGATACATTTATCTATTACATGGATGTTACCTATGTGCAATTAGTTTAATGAAATATTAGGCAAATGCTTTATTTTCATCTTTGGAGAGGTGAATGGGAAGTCATCAGTCAGGACAGACCATCACTTAAACTGAGGAAGCTGGTTTGAAAAAAGAGGAATAATGCAGCTGGTAAACCACTGTAGGAAAGTATTAACAAGATGACATATGGTAAAACCATCTGAAAGCACAGTGGTGTTGCAGAATACCTTGCATGATTATTATCATCATCATAATATGCCAACAGGCCTTTCCAGTACCCTGTGTAAAATTACTAGTTATCTTTTTTTAAAGATTGTAGGTTTGAAATTCACAACCGGTAATAACTGAAATTCAGCATGGCACATTGCGAGATGTGTATTTCCACTGTACTGTTTGAGATGCTGTCTGATTTTAATGCCTTATATGAGGAGGTCCTCTCTCCTGTTCAGGTCAAAATACATAGCAATTTTATGATACTGTTGCATTCAAATTTAATATATATAACATTGCATACAAAAACACATTAAAGATTGTTAGGTGGCAAAGTCAAGCACTCAAAAGTTAGATGTCAGAATTATGGTTGTCTGTGCAACCTTAATTTGTCCCCCATGGGCATATACATTGTGATAGTCTTTAATAACATGATCATATACCATTTTTTAGCATCGTACCATTGCCTAATCCAATTCACAGGATGGGTAGTGCTTGGGAAATGAGGCAACAGATCAATATTTCTTTTTATGGTCATGATTCAGTGTGTGGCCCTGTAGCTTATTTATTGCATACCATCCAAACCCGTCTCTAAGTACAAAATTATTACTTTCTTCTCGGGCTTTTTATGCTGCTCATCACCATAGTATAACCCTAATATCTGAATACTTCAGAAACATTGACCTGCACATGGAGATAAGAGAGCATTTTTATCCCCATTTCACAGATGAGGAAACTAAAATAAGGACATAGAAATTTATCAGGAAACACAGTGAATCAATGGAAGAGCCAGGATTAGAACTCCCCGATAAGCAGTTACTAGCTCCCAAGCCTTTACTCATTGCTCCAGACCACGCTTTCTTAATTCCAGAGTGTCTGAGCAACCACAATTCCTATTGACTTCAGTTGCAATTGTGAGCACTAAGCACTCTTGCCTCAGGTATCTAAATTGGGCACCTAGAAAATAAAGAACGCACAATTTGTGTGAAAAGTTTTAAGTGACTTGCCCATCATCACCTAGGAACTCTGGAAAAGTCAGGGATTTAATCCAATTCTCTAGGGCAGTTTTCAGCTGCCTTATTACAAGACAATCTGTTCTGTTTTACAGTCCTCGGCCTCATTCACCACACCACACCACACCACACCTTCCAACCTCAAGAGCAAATAATGCAGGGGCAGAAACAGTCTCATTCACTTGACGACCTTGATTAATTCCAAAGAATGGAAAATAATTTTCCTTGTTTGTCATTCCCTGCAGGTGGAAGAGAGATAGCAGTGGCAATAAAATAGCTCACCCAATTTCTGGCAAGAACATTTTACAGTTTGTAGCAATCAAGAGGAAAGACTGTGGGGAATGGGCCATCCCAGGGGTAAGAACCAAAGCACGAAGCAGACATTACAATTACTGTCTAGTAAGACTATGAAAATGTAATTGATATTGATTTGATAGCTAGTGTGCATATCCTCTGAATGACTTCCTCTTGTGAGGCACATGAGGCACTTTAGAAACCATCAAGGAAAACTAAAATATTGTTTTACCAAAAAGCCATTAAACTTCTGTTTTCTTTTTATTGCCATGATACAAGACAGTATTTGTGTCTAACTAGGACTATTCTTTCTGGCTTCATTTATTTACAGATGTCACACTTCTTTTATTATTGCTGATTACTGTTGGTGTCCATAACTCTTTACAAGTGCATTATAGCTCCTTGAATGATTTACAGTCTAACACAGACCAATAGAACATACAGAATAAAGAGCAGATGGAATAATGAGAGCAGACAGGGTCTAAGAGGGATATCAGTATTGGGTGTTTTTGTTTTTGTTTAGGGTATGGTAGATCCAGGAGAGAAGATAAGTGCCACACTGAAACGAGAATTTAGTGAGGAGGCCTTAAACTGCTTACAGAAATCCAGAGCAGAGAAGGAAGAGATGGAGAAGCAAATGAACAGACTCTTCAACCAGGAACATTTTGTGGTAAATCTTTTTCCTTCTATGATAATCTTGTATGCTGTTAAAAAACATACTCAAACATCAATAGAATTTATAGGGGACTGAAAAAAAACAGTAGCAGAATGGTTTCATCCATGGCGCCACTGCACTCTACTGTGGGAGTGGATTCTACTTGTGTCCTTCCTCTCTTGGAAATATCCTTACAACTGAGGATTTCTGAACTTTAATATGTGGTTTCCTAGCAGGGAACTTTGCTTTCGTACCAGTCAGATGCACGTTTGGGTGTAGAATCGTAGCATGAGAGAGAACTGGATAGAGCCCTGCTTATCTGGGATCTACACTCTGGAAAAGGCATAGTCTGGAAAAGGTCAATTATATCCTCAGTTTATGTAGCATTTTCTCAGAGAGACTTATGTATTGTTTTGATGGCCAAGTAGAGTTACTGGAGGTAGGAGCCCCTGTGAATCATTTGCTAAAGCTTCCTTAAATCCTTGTCTAATGAGGGTAATTACAGTGCACTTACACCACATTCTGTGCCAGTCCCTTAATGGAAAGTGCATGTAAATAAATTGTCATCATTACGGTTCCTCCTCAGTTTTGCAGTAAAGGCTGCTTTGCATTGCTTGGCACCTCAGGGCTGTGGAATGGAGATGGGGAATTGATAGGAAAGAGAGTTTGAATAGTGATGCATTTGTTATGCCTCACCAACTACTAGTCTCTCAAGAGATAAATATCACTCTAGATGTAGAAGAAGGCCCAGGATCATGGATTATTTTTCTCAGGAGACATTACATGGATTATAAAACTTAAATAATGGAGCGGGATCACACAAGAAACCATTCAGTTCAAAGGCCAGCAGTCAAAGCAGCTATCGAAAAAGAACTGAGAATGTTAACTGGAACTGGGTGTAATGTTTATAATAATTTTATACCTCCCCTCCCCCCCCTTTGCAAATTTTCCCTGGAATTTTGAATTTCAGTGAAAAATGGTTCAGAGCTTTCAGGAAAACTTCCTTTAGGTTTTTCAGATTTTTAAATGTTTTGACCAGCTCTATTAACTTTTATGCCTCACCAATAGAGAGATGCAGACTGCTGCAATCATAGGGAGTCTGTGAAACTTGTTTAGAATGCCATTCTATTGAGCATTCCAATCTTTATCCTGTGGATTAATTACCTTCCTTCGAACAATAATTAATGTGTCTGAGCTCAGTGGGTTCTAGTGATTAAATGATGACTACCATTTATTATTGTGGTAGCACTTAGGAGCCCCAGGTTGTGCTTGGCACTGAACAAACACAGAACAAAAAGACAGCCTCTGCCCCGGGGTGCTTACAATCGAAGCATAAGACAAGAGACACTGTGGATACAGACTGGGGGGAGCATAAGGAAACAATGAGAAAATATTGGTCAGCATGATAGGCAATGGTCTCAGCACACCAGCTGTGTAACTGTCAAGATTTTTTTGTCAGCATTATGGGAAAGGAGTGTTTTAAGGAGGGATTTGAAGTAAAACAATGAAGTGGCTTTGAATGTTATAAAGAGCTCCTCCCATGTCTGAGGGGCAGCATGGGGAAAAAGCACAAAGATGGTTGTTTGCAAATTTAACAGGAAAAGCTTTTGAATGTGCTGACTCATTTTGGGGAGCAGATCATGTACTCCTCCAGAGCATTGCAAACTAGTACAATTTACAGTCATTCCTTAACCAACGGTGAGGCCTTTTAAGATTCTGCCTCTTCTCATATAATGTTGTGGCCCTCAGCTTAGGCTGTCTGTCTTCCGCTTAGGTGTATAAGGGATATGTGGATGATCCTCGTAATACAGACAATGCCTGGATTGAGACAGAAGCTGTGAACTACCATGATGAACCTGGTGGGTAGCCACATTTTTACCTTTAAGCAGTTGCTTCCCTAAATATGCTGTTACAAACTAGTGGGAAGATGACAGAAAGGTGCTACAGGTTACTCAACTATCATCAAGTGTGAAAATCAGGTGTTAATCTATGGAACAAAAGTCAGTGGGTGAGGGTTTTTTTTCCCCCCCTAGAGGGGTTCACCCGTGGCACACAGTAATCTTTCTTCTCCAGCTCAGCCTCTTCCAATAAATATTCACAAAGGTTAGTTGGCTAAATCATGTTAAGAAAAATAGGTGCTTTGGGAGGATATCTATTTCAATCGAATCATATTGGAAGAGTCATGAAGATTTAACTTAATTTTTAAAAAACGTATATATATTTAGTATAACTTATTGGATAGAGACCAGACATTTAGCTAAGCCTTGTTCTTGCTACAGTATCTCTTTAAATTTGGTTTAATCTTCTGTCCCATCATGAAACTTGGGAAGAGGGATTTAAATTTTTCAGAACTGTTCCAGTAACTAGCCAATGCAAAGGACATGTTGCTTGTTTAGAGGCATTGTTTTTGGTGAAGCCCTATAAAGACACCCAATTATTGTTGTCTTCACTCTTCATTATAGCGTGGGATTAGGCCATTGGTATTTTCAGGTACCCTACTGAAATAGTAGTATCAGAATCTGGTTTACCTCCTGGTGAATGGCACGCGGGATGGAAAGTTTCCAACCATCAGCTATATAAAGGGTATAAAAAACTGGAGCAGTAGGGGCAGAGGACAGCAGAGATCAGTTGAACCTAAAACTTATTTTAGCAGGAAGACAGTGCATGTGATCGCATTAATTTTACAAGCTAGCCATGGCACTTGTGAAACTACAACAATGGTGCCACAAGGGTTTAGGCTATCTATTCTGTTTCCAGCTAGACAGTATAATGTCAATTATGCATGTAAGTATGAGAGGTAATGGTAACAAAGAGGAAGAATGTGCTTAATGTCCTAGCTGCTGTTTAAAAACCTGACTGCTATTTTTATGGCAGTAGTTGGAGTAGTTGGAAACTGGCATGAACAGGCCTCCTGCAGCAGAGAGTAATGGAGCATGTAGGATAGTGAGAGGGCAGAAATTAAGATAAAATACTGTCTTAAATCTTTTGTTTGGCAATCAGGTGAGACAATGGATAACTTGCTTCTGGAAGCAGGAGATGATGCTGGGAAAGTGAAATGGGTTGACATCAGTGAGAAACTCAAGCTATATGCAAATCATGGTGACTTCATCAAACTTGTAGCTGAGAAATGGGGAGCACACTGGAATGAAGGCCCTGTTCCTGGCTGCCATAAATGATGCTTCTGGAATCCAAATATAAACTGAAAACCGATGTAAGTATAAAAAGGAAAAGAACATGTTACTTTATTTAGAGAGAGGCCATCTTTTGTATCTTCAGTTTTGTTAGTCTTCAGTACTAAGAATAAATTGGTACACTAATTGCCTTTTGGTCAGAAATCCGTGCCATCCGTGGGACATAATGGTAAATACATCAGACATGAGGGGCAGAAAGCATATAGAAGTTCTCCAGTTAAAGAGCAGGAATATTTTATGACTGCAGTTAGCCATGGCCTAAACCAAAGCATCTATAAGACTTTCTCTTCACATAACTCTAGTATCCAAACTGTGATGAACTCAGACTAAAAACAAACTTTGCTTTCACGTTCTCCATTGCCTTCTCCTTAGTGATTTCCATTCAGCTCTTAACAACTGCAGACAGACATGGCAGTGCTGAGATTCTAAATTGTCTTGATTTTTATACTAAGTTGTAGGCTTGGAATTTAGCTTTGTGTGCGTTTGCTGATACCTGTCAGGAAGAGAAACCTTTCAGGTAGGCATGAGGTTTAGTGTGATGAGCTAAGTGATGATTTATTAATTGTGATTTGAAAGTTATATAATAAACCAGAAACTAAATGAATTCACTTTCACTTTAGGAAACCACTGGCCAAAAAAAAAAGTCTTGTCTGAGAAATGAGTACTCCTGATGTTGAGAATCATGAGTATTTTGCTAGACTGAATTGTTGTGTTATTCACTCATGAACAAATCCAAGAATGAATTTGAGTTGGGAGGAACCTCTAATACAAGGTTGCCCAAATATTATGACACAAAGGGTCAAACTGCTAATTTGCCAGGAAGCCAAGGGTAGGATCCAGTATGCATGTATTTTATTCTAAGACACATTTATAAGTGCACATAACCAGAATATTTGCTTGTACTTGTGCCTTCCTTGATAAGAGAGACAAATATTTGGTTGAATTTACCAGCAACTTAAGAACCTGCAGCTGATCTGCTTGTATCTTCCTGCTGTTACAGCATGAAAATGGCTTTTTGGGCTATATTTTAGGACTTTGTGGGCTGAATTTTACTCTTGGGCTACTCTTCAGGCAACTTTTGCTATGAGTCATCTCATCTTTCCCCTTGCACTGTGGTAGAGCTGATCTTTGTTTTCTTTTTTAGATCCTCCATACACCATCCCTGATTGATGGGTATCGTGTCTGGCTAATTGAATATCTCCAATAATGCTAACCCTGATAATGCTGCATTTGGTTGCTGACAATCTCTCAATGTTGAGTTGCAGTACTCTCAGGGATAGCCTGATGGCTCCAACATTGGGGAGCGGAATTGCATCAAGAATGTCTGCTTGCAAGTGACTGAGATTCAGCTCTAGAAAGGGCTTTGAATGTGGTCTGCTGATAGGACACACAACTACATTCAACCATGAGCATCATAACTGAGACAATTCGACCAGCCCAGTACCATGGTTCCCTGTGTTATGCAACATCACTCCTCCACACATCCATTGTGAGGATGCTATAGCCCGAATGGTTGAGAAGATCAGGGCAAACCTGAGCCTACCAATGTGCACAGACATCTCTGACCACCCAACAGTATGTTTGTTGTCAAGGCACCTGTTGTGGGCCCACTTGTCCTGTCCAGATTTCTCTGTGATGTTAATGTGGTTTGAAGAATGGTCTGCAGCTGATGTCAGAAACCATTCTCTTATAACTGATCCGACCATGTATGTACCCAGCCTTGATTTGCCACACTTGCTCATGTGCCATTCTGAATCAATTTCAAATGGGCCAGAGTAAATATGCAGCCAGCCTTCACATCTTAGCTCTTTTAGTATTTCATCATCATCATCATCTAGCTCTTTATTTTCATCTGAACTTTACTACAAGTACAGTAGGGAATAATTCTGTATGGGTAGGGAGATGGTCTGGATGTTCCATCTCCAACTTCTATGGATTGTGTCCTATTGCCACCTTTCTGGTTGTTTGGTGCCCAGTACTGAATACAATGTCCTTATTTAATTTCATCTGGAAACTAGTCATGCCACAATTACGTTAATAGAAAATCAAGGACAATAAGGAAGTGAAAATGTTTTGATTTAAAAAACAAAAATGAGGAAGGCACAAATTGTGGCTCAGTCATTTAAGCTTTCAAATAAAAATTGCTTATAAATAGATCTAGGTGTACATTTCTTATTGAGTAGGTGTAAGTTTGGCTCATCTTTAAGAGCAGTCCTTTAAACAAACTCGAAGTCAGAAAAGAAAATGGTCAGTCAATGCTCAATCTTTATTAAAGCATAAAATGACATGGAACATATGGTTTGGATGAGTAGAATCATCTACTGTTAAGGGGTTAGACAAAGAATACAGATGAATGTTAGAGGCATGTATAGGTGTACTGTTGTTTATCTCCAGTATTTTCAGTGCACCAGTAACATTAAAGATGTGTGAGAGAATAATATAAATTCAAACAAAAATAACCTTGCTGACTAGTTAGAAGTAGATAAGGTGCATGGAGGACATCGTTAAATTCCCAGTGTCATCTGCAGAATGAGAAAACTGAATTAGAATCTCAGTTGAGAATTAACAGCTGTTTCCACTGTTCTTTATCGTTAAATACATTAAATAGAGCGTATGTTAACTCATAGCACTAGCCGTGAAGTAAACTATTGTAAATTAATGACCACACGAGCAAAAGCAGGTCTCTTATTTATGTCAATAGGAGATAGTTGAGGAGCAGCTCCATACATAAAATATGAACGTACTGTAGTATTGTTTAGTAACCTTAACAGAGTTATTAACATTACAAATAACAAAATCCATGCTGTTTCCAGAGAATTATAAACATTTCACAAAGTATTCATTAACCAACAAAACAAACAATAAATAGGACAATGTGATTTACCCACTCTGAACAAGGGTGCTGGAACCTTTGTAGAAGTGGGGGGGCCAAAGCCCAAGTGGATTCCTATGTCCCTTCTCCCCTAACCCTGCACTCCCTTGTGGCCCTAGCGCCCTGCGCCCTCTACCCACACAGCACCCCGCACCTTCTAGTCACCTGGTCCAGCCAGTCTCCTACCTCCAGCGGCTGCCTGTAGCTCGCCGGGAACTAGCCGCACAGCCCATCCTCCTTCTGCTCTTCCCACCAGCCACCGTCTGGCACCTGCAGCACCGTGATCAGCTCCTCCATTGCAAAGCACAGCCCCTTCCAGCGTTGCTCTGTGCCTGCCTGAGACTTGCAGTTTGGGGGTGTGTGATGGGGCATCTGCCACACACTGGCCCGTAATGGGTTAATAGAGCCCTAGGGAGGCTGTGCAGGAGGCAGCCAACTAGAGCTGGGCTTGCCCATATAAAAAGGGCTGGGGAGCAGAGCTGCTTCAGTCTCTCTGTGGAGCTTGAGGAGGGAGGAGGACTGGCTCCCTTGCAGGCTGAAGGCTGTAAGCACCTGGGACAGAGCAGTGCTGCAGGCAGAGACCTGGGGAGCTAAAGGCAGCTCCTGGAGGGCTGCAGGGCTCTGTAGGCTGAGGCCCTGAGGCAAGGGTAAAGAGGGTGCTGGGGCTATGGGGAAGTGGCCCAGGGAGATCTACAGAGGAGTCGGAGGGAGTGCCTCAAGCAGTAGCCATCTACAGGGTCTCTGGGCTGGGACCCAGAATAGTGGGTGGGCCCAGGTCCCCCCCACTCGCCACTGAGGAAGTGGCTGGACAGTGGGCTGCAGGTCCCCTGGAAGGGAGGAGCACAGAGTGCAGCACAGCCGGAGGGCTGTGTCACGAAGAGGACGTGGCAGTACTGGGAGTGATGTGGGTCCCTGTAGCAGAAGTGACGGCGGCAAGACGCCACCAGAGGATGGCACACTGGTGTACATAGCTAATCCCCAGGACAGCCAGCTGGAGGTGCCACAGTGGTGAGTCGCACCCTGTCACAGGGAGCAATGTCCACTCTGCCCCCCAAACTATGCTCACGTTAAAAAGTGGGGGGCCCTGGCTTCCCTTGTTCTGGCACCAGTGACTCTGAAAGTACAATTCTTAAACTGAGAGGGGAAAACTCCAGTTCCACAGACAGCCTGTTTATTTCTCTCAAAGAAAGTGACAGAAAATCCCTTGAATCAAAATTATTTATTTATTGTTTCAATTAAGACTTATTAATGCACCGTTCTGTTAGCTGAAGTAGATTTTAGTATATATTTTTGCCATGTTTTTCCCCGGAAGTTTTCCAGTTAGGCTGAGCTTCCTCTTTGATCAGGATGTTTGATCTTAGATTGTAAACTCTTTGGGTTAGACAGGATCTTTCCATTTTGTGTGTTTGATACAGTGCCTAGCACAATAAGGCCCTGACCAGGCCTCTAGCTAATACTGCTTTACAAATATTTAATAGTATTGTTGAAAGTTAATGTACAAATTAGGCCAACTTTAATGTTTAGGATTTTTGTAGCTGTTTTTAGGATTTTTTTGGTAAATCTATGCAAATCACTTGAAATACAGTAAGTTTTTAATTGCAGATGAAGCGTCTGTAGCCTTTACACTAAAGCTGGGAAAACGTTCGGTGGGGTAGGGGGCAAAAGGGGGAAAGAATACTTTCTCCTGCTTCTGCCTTCATCTATCTTACAGTTCTCTCTCTCTCTCTCTCTTTTTATACTGCACTTATCAGTGTGTTATCTGAATGTCTAAGATACTTCCATGCAGTGGTGGATTAAGACTATATGGGTAATGGATCCAACATAACTAAAATACCTCTACCAAACCAAAGGGACTCCCACAAGAAATTAGTGTTGCAAAAGTGCTTGTGGTGCTCCTTGCCCTACCAATTCTACTTCCTGCTCCCCAGCCCCCATGGAAAGTGTCCTCTGGGAAATCAACCAAAATATGCAGCGTTTGGGAGGTGGAACCCCTCATCTACTTTTGTGTGTCTGTCTGTCTTTGACCTCTCCACCCCCATCTGATCTAAGAAATTTTGTAAGTTGAAATTCATGAGGCCCCAATTCTCTGTTGTTCTGCACCTGGTGCAATCCCGAACACCAGAGCAAAGTGGGTGTAAAATGCTGCCAGATCAGACTGGCAGGATTTAACAGCAGCTTTGCACTGGTGTAAATGATGGCCCAGTGCAGGGCGATGGAAGAAGAGCCCCATGAAGTTTCCACTCCCTTATGGGGTCGATTTCTCCACAGGGCAACAATGGGCTGAAATACTTAACATCTCCTCCGTTAGCTTTCTTTGCAACAGGAGTGTGAGAACTTTTGTGGATATTTCTTACTTTACTAATTTTAATAACACCAGAAATGATCCTCCACAAAACCAGTCAAAGTGCAACCTATGTTTACTGTTTTTAATTTACAGCAATAACAGTTATAAATACAAAAACATGGACTTACCCCCATTGAATGTCGGAAACTACAAATTAAACCAAATAAGTTACTGTATATGTTTTTTAAAGGGAAATTGTCAGATTTAATCTAAAATAAGGTGTCTTTGGAATAAAGAGGACTTAAAAATAGACCATCATGTAAACATTTAATTAAGTGCAGGACTGCAAGCCAGGAACCTCCTGATTGCTAATCTGAATTCTGATACTGACTTGCTCTATGACCTTGGGCAAGTCACTTAACTTTATTGCCGAATTTTCCCTGTCTCTAAGCAGGGAATAATAATAGTCTCTTATCTGGGTACCGAGGATTCATTACTTAATGCTTTCTACAACGCTTTGTAGATGCCTACGCTGCAATTAAAAACCTCCGGCTGGCCCATGCCAGCTGACTCGGGTTCACAGGGCTCAGGCTAAGGGGCTGTGAAATTGCGGTGTAGATGTTCAGACTGGAGGTGGAGCCCAGTTCCCAGATACTGTGTGTGTGTGTGTGTGTGTGTGTGTGTGTGTGTGTACAGTCTAATATGTTCATTATTTTATCCCATTTGGACCTTGGCCTCACTGGGAAAAACATGGATATTGTTAACATGTTAGTTAACAAATGTAAATTAACATGTTAAAATCCTAGTGTAGGCAAGTCAGTTGTGGTTTTAACACCTGTTAGGTGGTTGAGGTAAATTCTAGATTCTCTCCCTAGGAATTACCTTGAGCTGCTAACACACTTTTAGAACTACAACTGCCTTGTGTATGCTAGAATTTTAATGTGTTAGCATCACACATTTTTCCTAATATAGACATGGCCATAGTCAGAGTCCAATCCTGCAATCACTTAAACATGTACCCAGCTTTATTCCTGGGTGTATCCCTAATGAAGTCAATGGAGCTTCTTACATGGTTAAAATTAGGCATGTGCTTGTGTGTTCACAGAAGTGGAGCCCTAGTTTCTCATTTGAGTTGTGTGTGTGTATGTCTATCAACTAGATTCTCTAGTAGTCCAGAGGACTTGTGCTTGAACCAGGGAATGGGATGATGGAGAAAAGGGGGATTTAATCCACCTATAAGATCCGCAGAGCTTGACGAAGTGTTGACTTGTTTGAAGCTGCAGTGCCATCTAGTGGTATGAGTGTTATAATTGTGGACGTAATACGTTCAAAGAACTCCAGTGTGTAAGTTAATCAAATTGCGTTGTTGCAGATGTTCTCTAACTTTTCTCCACAAATGACCCTGAATCTAGTTAAACTCTCTGACCTATGATTCCTTAGTTTATATTGGTTCCTATCCAGAATATTGGAGTTATAGATAATTGCCAGTTTCCAACATTTTGGAATATCTCCCAAATCTAAAAGGACTGGCTGCTTTTCTTGCTTACTTCATACTCGTAGATTAATGTTACATAGATCTTTCTTTCACTACATTTAGAGTGACAGAGATGTGATGTGTATGGCTAATAATGCCACAGTTTTATCCCTGCCCTGAACAATTGGAAACTAGC